TGTTTCCTGCAGAAAAAATAAGTTAACTTTTTTCCCCTTACAAAATAAAAAGAGACTTTTCCTTTTTGTTAAATCTCTAAGGCCCCTTGCATTTACAGATAAAAGAGAAATTGAACTTTTAATATCAAACATATAATACTGAACAAAAGTGATTCACTGTAAACAGTAGAACAAACAACTAAGTTCTCAAAAGTGATACCAGCAAAAAGGTGGTAGCAAAACCCTGAATACTTTTAATAGAATATACCAACAGGACCATTTGATTTAAGGCACAACCCTCTGACCGTTGATGTAGGCATAAGGACCACGAAACATAGTCTTGTGACCTTCCCTCCTAGCTTGCTCCACTTTGGGCCAGACTGCTTTTCTTGCTTCTCGATCTTCTTTGCTGAGATCCTCCACGAAGCGGATGCTAAGGTCTTTGCAGATTTGATTGTTTTTTGTCACTCGCCACAGTTCGTCCCTGTAGATTCTCATGGTGAACTGCATGATGACCTGTCTTGGGTGGTTGGTAGTGTGTGGACCCACGCGATGCACAGAGTCCAGGATGAAGCCCATTTTCTCCTTCCAGTGTGGGGCAATCTTTGAGAGAAGACTTACAACAAGATCTCGAGTGTTCTCCCCTTTGTCTTCCTTTAAGCCGTTTAATCTTAAATTCCACCTTCTCTTGTACCTCTCTGCTTCTGCCATTCGACTTTCTACCTCTGCTGCCCTTTTCTCTAGATCTGCATTCTTCTCTTTAAGATGGATTACTTCACTTTCCAACTTTCTATTTTTTTCCTTGCAATCTTTTATCTGTGATGAGTTGTACTCTACAGATTTGGTGAGGTTAGTTAGGGTCAGCGTGTTTTCTTTTAGATCTTTCTGCACGTCGGTCAGCAGCACTCGGAGGTCCTGTATCTGGTCTGACTGGGTCTTGATTGCCGCCAAAACAGTAGCAACATACGGTGGCTCCGATGAGGAAAGAACATCAATATCATTCGGCTTAATCTTTTTTTGAGGTTGCGGAGGTTTCGTAGGTGAGGATAGGGCGTTCTTGGCTCCTTTAGTGTCAGTTTCCATTTCCATAAGCCCACAGTAGTCATGGGAGGCGAGCGCTTTAGCTTTAGCCATTCCCTTAGCGTTAGCTTTGGCCATCAGTACCAGTAGATAAAAGTTTACCAGCTTTTAGTGTAACTTTTTCCGGTCCTAGCGAAGGTAAATGTGTTGTCAGAAATTGTCAGGGAGTTAATCTCAACTATGAATATTGGTCCAGTTTGAATTTATTCAGGTTTTGCACCAGAGAGCGGTTACTGAGCGTCTGAACCCTCCGCCATCTTGCCCGGCCATCCCCTTCCAAAGTCCAAAGTGACTAACCAGATGTAGCGCAGAGGTGCTGTATAGCAAGCGCCTGGGCACAAACCTGGTCAGGACCTGGGTAACTGGCAAAATAATTTTACCTCTGTGTCCAAGAAAAGTTTAGCCAAAAGTTTAAGCACGTGCATCACCCTCCTGTGTTAGAACACCTGTCTCTGTCTGGTACAGTTGAAAAAGTGACCTTAATATTCGCGTGTCGTTTGAGACTTTTACCAGCCGGTATGGTCATATACGCGTGAATCCCCAACTCACCAAAAGGGCACAAACCATATAAAAGCCTATGGCCATTATTTCATTCTAATGATGTTGCACATGTGGCTGTTGTGAGGGGCAGTGCAGCTTTTACGCACAGACAGACGCTGGTTTGGACTCTGAGAATAAACTGGTTTTCAGTGAGTTTTTGTCTGTGCTCCTTAATTCTATCATCTTTTTTTTTATTTATTTTTTTTTTTATATATATTCAGGTACATACAGACATATAGACAACTTATACAGTACGGTGGTGGTTCACAGTTGATTATACAGGAGAGCAGAACGAACCAAGAAGAAACCAAAACTGAACAAAAAACAAGATGATACCACAAACTAAATCAAATGATCAATTAAAGAGTTTTATCAAGATGTAGGGGAGAGTGATATTGTTATAAATACTTCTTACAAATATTATATGTTTTAACCGCTTTTTTGTTTTGGACCTGTTTTATTATTTCAAAAATATTGCTGGATTTCGTTATTATACTGATGAACATTTGGTTTATTTTGGGTCCATTTGGTTTTGTGTATATGATACTTGGCTAGCATGATGAGAGTCTGAATGAGGAACCCGAGATCTTTGGGGATGGAGGGGCTGGTGAAGAAGAACAAGACGTCACTTTCCTGCGTGATTCCTCGGCCCATATTAACCAGGCTCCACACTCCGCAGCCAGCCTTCTCCCTGATCACAAAGCGAACAGGAAAGGAGGGGGAGCAAACAGGAGAGGAGGGGGAGTCGTTTCTTTCCTCTCACTCCTCATATCAGAATGACCGGAAAAGTTCTGTGTCCCAAATCAAACTCATGTCCGTGCGCTCCTCTCTCGATTAATCCGATCATAAAAAAGATAACACATTTAGCCCATTTTCCATGATGTCATTGCTCCATTGACTTCAGGCCGGAATTAGCGTTGGTTAAACCCAGTCTTATGTCTGAGTGTGTTTATTATTTAGGTTACTGGACACCACTCTATATTGCCCACTTATGGTCCAGTTACAGTACAAGTAAATTTAAGAAGTTACAGGTTGCATAAATGCACTTTGTATTTTGCTCAAAGTCCCTCATTGGACCAGTGTCAGTATGATGTTTGTGCACAATAGTTTCCTTAGACTGAATGCTGTAATCAGGATCTTTGTAGATAAGCGCCATGAACTTTATTATGAAGCACCTCGAGGACTCACAAAATAAAATTATAAATGTTTTAATAATAAAGCCTGAGCAGAGCAGTGTCAGGTTCACCTCTGAACTCTTGAGGCACTGGAGCAACTACTTTTATGATCTATAGACTTTATTTATTATTAGTGCTGTGTCTTCTGTCTGTTTTTAAAAAGTTCTATATGGACCCACTCTGAAACAAAGCTTGACTGATTAATCACCTATAGAAAAAAATTAAAAACATAAACACATTTGTCAGTATTTTCTAACTGTGCTCACTCACTTGTTCTGCCCAATGCCCATCCTGATTATTCACATTATTCACTTTCCCCTCCATTGAATTTAGAATGTTTTGTTTACAAACTGTCTATTCGGAGTAGAGTTAATCTGCTTCTATCTTCTCTTTAGCCTCTGACCTCTCCTCTCCATCATGCAACAGTGGATACAGTTGGCAGTGTCTGTTTGGAAAGTCTTTCTTGAGGCCTATGATATCTTTTATGTCAAGGAAAACCGCATCAAGGAGCTCGAAAAGCTTTTGACCATTTACAAGGTTGTGAATTTTTGTCTCTTAATCATTATTATATTCATTATATACAGATGGAAATACTGGAAAAAAAGAGACTGAAAAAAGCACTAAACTCAGTTAATTTGAGTAGAGAACATTTTTCTATCACTATCACAGTCTGGATTCTTTCTTGCGAAGTGAAGACGTCATGAATTTGCCCAATCCATTGCCATCCTATCGTTCAACTCTCTGCCACCAGATGGACTTTTATCTTCGCTCCACTGGATAGATTTGACTGTTAACTACTATTAAAACAGTTTACTTAATGTATAGGTTTGTCTGATCTACACTGATATCATGATTTAATATTGTATTTTGTCATTGTATACAAAGCTGGTTGTACCACCATTTCTGTTTTAAATGAAGTCTTGAATCAAAAGGGAAACCATTTGATAAATAAATCATGATTTTAACCCAAAGCACTGTATTTTTGTGTAGATAAAATTATTATCTCTTCACTCTGCCATTATCTGCCTGTCACAGCAATTACTGTTGAATAGTGACGTTTTGTTCAATATGACAGAAATAATCAATAATTTATGGACTCTGTATTTATTGTAAGAACTTTTATACTAGCTGCAACCTTTTTCTCTTGTAGTTACATTTGAGCTACCTGTATTAGGTTGAATAATTTGATATATCTATGACTCATTATAAATATCACATAATTTTACATATTGTACACTGTAGTTCTTTGTCTTATTTATTGGAGCTTTTTATGTAGAGCTGGAGAAAGACTGATATATTGTTTTTAAGCGATATTTGGCCTTTTTCATGTACCAGTTATTGACCTTAAATCTCCATCAAAGGCTGATATTTTGCTTTGGTCTTCAAAAAGAAAATCACACAAAACTACGTGACTGTATACTGTCACTACACAGTTCTTTTACAGATCTGTAGAAAAAAAAAAAACAATATCAAATTAAAAACGGCCATGGAGAATCCCATATCAGTTGATATTTAGTTTTAGAGATTTCCTATAATTTTTATGCTTTAGATTTTAAATAATGTTCCTCTGGCCTGGTCAAAACACGACCTTAAAAAAGAAAACCTTTTGGAATCAGAATATACAAAACTACTTCATTAATGATTTGTCCAATAAAATAAAATTTATTGTGAATAGAAGATGTCTTTTTATGTTATTTCATCGAGAGAATGAAGAGTCACAACCACGCGTTGTGATTGGCTGTAGAGGACGGAGGCGGGATCTTTCAACAGAAATCACAAACTTTCAGCCAATCACGTCAAGTTATCCAAATCAAAGCGAAAACAGGGCTTAAGACCTTTCAAAATAAAACCGCTCTGTTTTTATTTTCATAATTTCACTGGATTTAAGCTTGTTTCACGACGTATAATTTAATATCAACCAATAAAATTGATATTTTATATTTCTATTATCATTTATGTATGTGCAAACGTAGCTTTTACAGTGAGTTTAAAAATCATGTTACAAAAATCCAACAAACCGGATACGCAGTTGTGTTTGTGTAGCTTTACAAAATACAATGTGCTAAGAGGCGGTTTGTAATTAAAACACACCTTATATGAATATGTTCTCTTTAACATCACTTTATGGCATTGATCAATATATATTATACTTATTGTTGCTATGAACTGACACGTTTCTTGGATAATAAAAGAATCGGAGAGCTGGATATCAATAGCCGGTTAGCAAAGCGCTGCAGCTAAGCTAGCGGCTTGCTAAGGAAGTTAGCATGTGCGTTAGCGAGCCGGAGGATGGTTCGCCGGAGGATGGTTTCAATTTCCCGCATTTCAAACACTCTCTCCCACTGCTGTCCGCGCTGAGCGTCCATTCAAAGGATTAAGATTCACCGGATAAACATTTGGACCAACTCTAAACACCAAACTGTTTAAACTTACGCACTTTTTTGTACAATGAAGACATTTATCGTGAGCGGACGGGATTGTGGAAGCGTTGCTCTTTTGTTTTGACAAAGGAAACCGAGTTTTTCGTTTCGTGGTGTTTTTTGTTTTTAGTGTTTAGAATTAATTTATTAGGATTAATAGTCAATGGCGCCACACAGACACTCCGGCTCCACGATGGGCTACGGCTCTGGAGGAAAAACGAATGGTTTGTACCCGCCGTCCTCTACCAACAAGAAGCCGAGCGTGCAGCAGATTCAAGCGGACCACGAGCTGTTCCTGCAGGCCTTCGAGAGTGAGACCCGCTTTTCACATTCACCAAGCAACGAGCACTTTACAGAATCATCTATTTCATCTATAAATATACTTCTAATTCAATATTTAGAACACAAACTTATGCAGTGAGTATGTACTAGTCTAGTCTAGTATTGCAACGTGAAATTATTTAAAGACAAATGCATTTTTATTGTTTTTAATTACAGACAGCTATATCAAATCCTATTTGAAGTGTCCTACTAAGTTTAAGCATTAAATTGACAGAAGCATTAAAACGTTACTGCAAACTATGCCATTTCAACTGATTATAATTGGTAATTTAACTGGTTGAATTTTAAACAAGCCTGTTTTACAATATATAACAATTCTTCCTTGTAAGCCTCAGTAAAAGTAAGTTTGCCAAGTCTAAAGGGGGCATAGTTGAATTCATTATTGTTATTGTACAAGCACAAATAGTACAAAATGTGGTCCCATGTTCAGTCAAAGAAAAGCTTACAATATTATGTGAAATGACTAGATATGAATTAGTGTTAACTTTGTGTATTATTTTAGCTGTAGTTTTGTCCTTTTGAAGCTGGAGCTTTGTTTCTGCTGACTCTGGACCTCTCGCAGTGAATTCCTGTCATTCTTCAATTTGTCTTATGTCAACTTTCCCCAGTGTCACTTCATTCAAAGATGGAAAAAAAAACCTATGATTACCTATGACCTAAATGATTAATACGACGAGACAAATTCTGAAACGGGCTCTTTGCTTCCACTGATCATACATGATTTATTCAAATGTGATTTTCCAAAGTGTGTTTTTTTTTTTTTTTTTTTTTTTTTTTTGACAACGTGAACAAAATGTCTATCAAGTTGACCACAGGATTTGAATATAGTGCATGCAGCGGATTCATTTTGTTGTCAGTTAGTTGTTTTCTATATTCCTTTGGACCATTTTTTGTTCAGAACTACAGTGGAAATGACAAAGTCCACTTTTAGACCTGGTTTAGCTCCAGATTAGACCTGGAATAGTCCTGTTACGGTTTGGCCACTGGTCTAGCACTTCTTAATTTGTGATTTTGCTGTCCTGTAGTTATAGTTGCAGTTGTAAACTAAAGATAACCCATTTTGTGTGATTTGATTTCATTATTGGTTAGTTTCTAAATTCATGCAAAAAAGCTGATTACCATAACTATTATTATACACCATTGAAAGTAACTAATCGAAGAGTCTCTGTTTGTTTGGTAAACTGGATAGAAATTGGCAGCCATGTTTCTGCCAGTGTGCCCTAAGGCAGCTGTGTCATGACTGTGGAGTAATTGAACTAGTATTACTAAAATTTCAAATTTGATTTAGATACTAAAGAAAAAGCCTGATTATTTTAATAATTTTGATACCACAATTTAGGGAGAAAAAAAGCACAGAATAATAGTGCGTTCTTTAAAGGTTCACTATGTAACTTTCTAGTGGGGGGGCTACCATGAGATGTTATTGCTTTACCTGGAATGTTTCTCACTATGGCATTAAATGTAACCATCTTGCATTTCAGTTACAAGTGTATTTATTGCTGTAACTTGGCCTGTTGTCGTCAAATGCTTGTTTCCATGGTGGTAGATATGTTAAATGCCATACTGTAAATGCCATACTGTAGAACATTCCAGACACAGAAATAACATCTCCTTCCAAACAAGCAGGTGACGGACCCTCCACCAGAAAAGTTACACAGTACACCTTTAAGTTACTGTGTGGCTCTATTCTGGTATTTAAAAGTTCGAGATTACTCTTAAAAACTGTTCAAGAATGGTAAATTTTTTAAATTTTCTCACATTGATTAGTATCTTTCTATAGAAAGATTAGATTAGAAAGAAAGACTAGATTCTCGATACTTTCAGCATCCCAGAATTGAACAATGTAAAGTCAGTAATTTTTAGTACTAGTTGTTGTGTTTTTTCCAAACCATCTAATTATGTATCGTATATCTTTCTTCTTCTAGAGCCAACCCAGATCTACAGATTTCTTCGCACCAGGAATTTAATCGCTGTGAGTATTTCTTTTTAAAATTTAATTATTGATTCCACAGAGACGTTACTGCTTTGCCTGGAATGTTCCATGGTATGACATGGTAAACATATCCATTTATAGCATTTATTCATTTATTCGTTACGGGTGTTTCTGTTGCTCAAAAATACATGAATTCCTTCTGTGAATAGAGATGACTCTCCACAGATCTGAATTGTAATGTGGCGTAGGGTGTAGTCTCCCTTGTGATGGATAGGGTTTAATCAATACTGTGGAACATTCTAAACAAAGCAATAACATTTCAATGGAGACAAGCAGTATGATGGACCCTCCCCTACAAATGGTACACTTTTAAAACAGTGTTGTATCCAGATTAAAATATATCCTTTATCTTTCTTTGCAGCCCATTTTCTTACACCGGACTTTGACTTATATGTCCCACAGAAACTCTAGAAACAACGCCAAAAGGTAAAACTCAAGATTCACTTTTAGTTACTTTGAACATGTGAAACAAGAGAGTGAAAACTGTCCTATAGCAGCAGAGGTAGTGACACTGAATGTATTATTAGTCAGTTTCCTTTGCAGTACATTACAGGTTGTTGTGAGTAGTTATAGTAGCAGTAGCAGGAGCAGCAGCAGCAGTAGTAGTACTAGTAGCAATAACAGTGCTAGTTGTTGTAGCATTAATTTTTGTGCTTCTGGTAGTTAGAGTTGTAGTGCAATGAGTAGTACTAATAGTTGGAGCTACTTGAAACTAATTGAAATATTTATTCACTTTTATTTTATATAACAACAGAGCCCATCAACAATAAATGGAATTCAATTTAACACAATATGTTACATGTCAGAATATGTCAGATTTACATATTAAAGTACATATAATAATGTCTACATAGACCATGATCCTTTGCTCCATTTCAGAAGTTGTGAGAATTCATCTTGTGACCAAATTGGCTCTTTTGAACGGTTCCTTAATGTGAACAGTTGGAACCGGATCTTTTTCTTTCTCATTTGTATGCATTTTTTACTGACTTGCGCTGGACCAACACAAGGCCAGTACAGAAGCAGAGCAGGCAACACAAGTAAGAAGGTTGTGCATAAGAAAACATGTCTGGAATCTTAGGGTGTTTTCACACCGACAGTATTTGGTGCGCACCAAACGGTCCATTCGAACCAAAAGTGGTTAGTTCGGTTCGTTTGCGTTGGTGTGAAAGCGTCAATCGGACTCGGACCCGAACCAAATCAAGCGGACCGAGACCGCAAAAAAGAGGTGGTCTCGGTTCGCTTGAATCCGCACCAAATGACCAACTTTGGTGCGGTTCCTCTGGTGTGAACGCGAACCCGGGTCCAAACCATAGACAGTATGGACAAACGGACTATTCCAAATGCATCATGGGAGGGACACGCGTCTCCTCTGCTTGAAATGACGCGCTGTACGACTCCAGCGCAGTAACAGATTGTTGTCCAGACGCAGCCGCGATTCATTTTCAAATCATTTTACCAACAAAGGCCAATACAGAGAATGTAATACACGAAGATCAGAGCAAGTATCAGTGTGCGAACGTGTGGCTCCAGAGTGAGTCAAAATTGGGGGTGCGTACCCCTGTTCGGGGCCTACATGCACAGAGACGACCCGGTGTTCCCCGTGATCACACAGCTGTTTTATGAGTTCATGGTGATAATTTGAGATGAGGACGGCCAGCGGTATTAACAGGAACATCGGTGTTGATAACTGGAGGTATCGCTGTTTTACCGGGGAAACAGACACGTCAATCGAACCAGTTTTGGTTCGTTTGCCGGTGTGAACGCGGACCACACTGGAGTGTATTTGCTACATAATAACAATTTTATTGCCTGGTGCGGACCAAATAATCGAACTAGTGGTGTGAAAACGACCTAGCGATTATTTGGTCTGCACCAGGTAAAACAGCGATACCTCCAGTTATCAACACCGATGTTCCTGTTAATACCACGGGCCGTCCTCATCTCAAATTATCACCATGAACTCATAAAACAGCAACATGTAGAACTTTGTACAAACTCACCGCATCAGCCCAGAGTTCGGGTAACAGCAGCAGCCAACAGTGCTCAAAGTAGCGCGCAGCTCCTCAGGACGGGGCTGGGGTCTGGTCCTTGGTCTTCTGTTACAAGCGCGTTGGTCAGATGGTCCGGAGGTTCTGTCCTCCATGTGCTGGTTCCAAACGGTGGCGAGCAAGACCAGTGCGCAATGACTGGGTCTGAGCGGGTACGTTCAGTCGTCTGTGCGCTGTTTCCGTGCGGGAAAAGCAAGAATGCGCTGTGGACTACAGGTCCGGTGCGCTGCTCTGGTTCTCCGCGCTCAAGAACCACGGCTGGTTCCGAGGTGGTGCAGCATCCGGACAGAAGCGTGAGTCCAATTTGGTTTGTTATATGTTGTTCTGAGCGTCCGTCCTCCGCGCATTTGGTTCTTCACGGGGAAAGCGCTTCCTCAGGTCGAGGCTCCCCGCTCCAGCTCCTCTGAGCCCGGACAGAACTGGAGCTGCCCCCGCTGGTTCGGGACTCTGGTTTGGATCTAGTCCGACTGTATTTCTCACTCTAGGCTAAAAACAGGGACTTTTTTAAGTTGTATCAATTGAATAGGCTATTGCCTATTGCCATAAAATTATTTGGTTAATTAAAGCCTAAAATAACAAATGTTGGTTGCTGTGTGATCACGGGGAACACCGGGTCGTCTCTGTGCGTGTAGGTCCCGAAGAGGGGTACGCACCCCCAATTTTGACTCACTCTGGAGCCACACATTCGCACACTGATACTTGCTCTGATCTTCGTGTATTGCATTCTCTGTATTGGCCATTGTTGGTAAAATGATTCAAAAATGAATTGCGGCTGCGTCTGGACAATAATCTGTTACTGCGCTGGAGTCGTACAGCGTGTCATTTCAGGCAGAGGAGACGCTTGTCCCTCCCATGATGCATTTGGAATAGTCCGTTTGTCCATACTGTCTATGGTTTGGACCCGGGTTCGCGTTCACACCAGAGGAACCTCACCAAAGTTGGTCATTTGGTGGATTCAAGCGAACCGAGACCACCTCTTTTTTGCGGTCTGAGAACGTAATACACGAAGATCAGAGCAAGTACGTGCAAACGTGTGGCTCCAGAGTGAGTCAAAATTGGGGGTGCGTACCCCTCTTCGGGACCTACACGCACAGAGAAGTCCCGGTGTTCCCCCGTGATCACGCAGCAACCAACATTTGTTATTTTAGGCTTTAATTAACCAAATAATTTCATGGCAATAGGCAATCGCCCATTCAATTGATACAACTTAAAAAAGTCCCTGTTTTTAGCCTAGTGTGAGAAATACAGTCGGACTAGATCCAAACCAGAGTCCCGAACCAGCGGGGGCAGCTCCAGTTCAGTCCGGGCTCAGAGGAGCTGGAGCGGGGAGCCTCGACCTGAGGAAGAACTTTCCCCGGGAAGAACCAAATGCGCCAAGGACGGACGCTCAGAACAACATACCAAACCAAACTGGACTCACGCTTCTGTCCGGATGCTGCACCACCTCGGAACCAGCCGTGGTTCTTGAGCGCGGAGGACCGGAGCAGCGCGCCCGGACCTGTAGTCCACAGCGCATTCTTGCTTTTACCGCACAGAAACAGCACGCAGACGACGGAACGTACCCGCTCAGACCCAGTCATTGCGCACTGGTCTTGCTCGCCACCGTTTGGAACCAGCACATGGAGGATGAAGCCTCCGGACCATCTGACCAACGAACTTGTAACAGAAGACCAAGGACCAGACCCCAGCCCCGTCCTGAGGAGCTGCACGCTACTTTGAGCACTGTTGGCTGCTGCTGTTACCCGAACTCTGGGCTGATGCGGTGAGTTTGTACAAAGTTCTACATGTTGCTGTTTTATGAGTTCATGGTGATAATTTGAGATGAGAACGGCCCGTGGTATTAACAGGAACATCGGTGTTGATAACTGGAGTATCGCTGTTTTACCGGGGGAAACAGAGACACGTCAATCGAACCAGTTTTGGTTTGTTTGCCGGTGTGAACGCGGACCACACTGGAGTGTATTTGCTACATAATAACAATTTTATTGCCTGGTGCGGACCAAATAATCGAACTAGCGGTGTGAAAACGACCTCGGTCCGCTTGATTTGGTTCGGGTCCGAGTCCGATTGACGCTTTCACACCAACGCAAACGAACCGAACTAACCACTTTTGGTTCGAATGGACCGTTTGGTGCGCACCAAATACTGTCGGTGTGAAAACACCCTTAATAACAGTTTTTAAATTATTATTATTGTAGTGCAACATTTTATTTCAAAGGGTAAACACACTCAGTTTGAACCATTTTAAAGGGCCCATATTATGCTATTTTCTCATCTATGGTATAATGTTGTTTCCACATCAAAAACAGACCTGGAGTTGTGTTTTGTTTCATTCACACGTATAACACAGTTTTTCCTCTCAAATGGGAAACACTCTGTTCCACTTTGTGATGTCATGTGTTAATATAACTCAAACTCAATGACTGTTCTAAGCACTTTTAAATCTTAGTTCTTTGAAATAAGTCTTGTCAAGACATATTTACAATTTTGTTAACCTCCACAAAATATTGCAATACCTAATGTACTGTGTGTTGTATATCATGAAAAAGATGTACAGAGAGATTTGGAAGTTGTATTAGTAGAACTAGTCTGAAGTGTTAAAAGCTTTGGTTCCTGGCACTACTGTTAGGACTCGCAGAATTTCAGATGTCAGTTGAGCTGTTTTGCATAATGACTCAGAGCACAGAGCACGTGCTGCTTGAGGTTTCATCTTGTGGCAGACTTTTCTGAATTTAAACATGAATGAAAAGACCGACTGAATGAACAATGTGCCATTATATTATTTCAGTTTTAAAGCTACAATATGTAATTTTTTGCCCCAATATAGACTAAAATAAAAATAAAAGCATGTTTATTAATAATAGTTTTATTTATTGCACTGAAAAACTTAGAAAAAACATGTGCCCTTACTCTGAGTGGGCTTGCATCTCTACAAACCTGACTTTTATTTGACCTCTTGCCTTTTTCCATAAACGTGCTGTTTCTTTAGCTATAATTTTCCACAGTATGGCATAAAATGTATCTTATCACCCTTGAGAATGTTCCAACGTATGGTTTTAAATTTGTTTCCATCAAGCATCAGCTGTGATTGTATCTGTGTAGCTGGGTCCAGTAGATGTTTCAAGCATAAAAATAGTGTTGTATCTATCTTCTTTTAGGAAAAACTGGAAGGTGAATGATTTTTTGTACAAAGTGGAGAAGACTCGAGGAGAACAGGAGAATTTGAGGTACTGCTTATTGTTTATTTAGAATAAGAATCTGCAGTAAACTCAAGCAGACCCACCGTTTTCCAAATAATACAAAAATTTAATTACCTTTCCTGTTTATTTTTTTCCAGTTTAAACTCTAATCTGCAGCTCACCTTCACTGGGTTCTTCCATAAAACGGGTGAGAATGGCCTGTCAATATGCTATGATAATTGTATGAAATAAAGAGTAAAATTTAAATTGAAATATACATATATTGGATCAAATTTGATGCTGCAAAAAAATCTGATTTAATAATAAGAATACAGCAATCACACAAGTAATGCTATTTTTGATCATTTAAATCAATACAATATTTTGAGTAAAAACGTATTGCCTATTTTGTCTAAGCAATGATATATTCAGTTGAACGTTTACTTGGTGATAATAGAAGAAGCAAAAATTGCCATTTGTCTGGTTTCTTTATAATACATCAGAGGAGAGAACTGGGCAGCATAAAAGCATTTTTGTTGATTTAAAGTTGCTCAAAATTTGTTCTTGCAGGACGGTCGTGTCAGGACAGTGAGAACGAACAGAACTCTGTGTCTTTGGAGGTGCTTCTTGTGAAAGTTTGCCACAAAAAGAGAAAGGTAATACTTCAAGACAAAGCTAAACTATTTACACATGATAAATTAGTTGTGCATTTTTCGAGCTTTGGAAAGAGATTGGACTAAAGCTGCGTTAAGACCATGGCATTGAGCGTCAGTCACCAGTTTGAGCGTTCAGGTCACAGGCATTAGACTTCAGAGTTGAAAAGGTTGAATTTTTGACCTTTGACATGCCACATCAACCAATGAGGGACGACTCTCCGGCGTTGTAGCAACGTCATTATCCAGAAGAAGGAGAAGAAAGCGAAAGACCCGGGAGCCAGTGATGAAACTGACATAATTCAGATGCATTTGAAGTTTGGCCACAGATCCAGACACGCTGCCACCAAGCTGTTTTTTTAAATAATAAATACACTAAACCCACACTCTCCTGCACTGCCATGGTTCACAAAGACACTGGGATAACCGGCACTGACAGACAGCAACAGATGTCTTGGACATGCATCATGGAGGCTGTGGATGTGATGGATGCATCTCTTCTCAAATGTAAAGGTGTTCAAATAGAGGTGTCTGCCACGGCCTGAACGCAACTTTACAGATGAAGGATACTGAATATATGGGTAGAACTTGAATGTTGACTTTGGAATTGCCAGGAATCAGGACAGCTAAAGGAAAACCAAGGAGACTACTGAATGTAGTGAAAGAAAACATGAAGTTGGTTGGTTTGGGAGAGAGGATCAGATGTAGCAGAGAATGCAGTGAATTCACTTCGAACTTTGAACCCAATAATTCTTTTTACCATCTTCTTCATCTATTTTTAGGATGTGAGTTGTCCAGTGAAGCAGTTCCCAGCGGGTAAAAAGTCCGTCCCCCTGAATCCAGACTATGGGATTCAGAGCCGTCAGACTGGAGCCTCCCTCACTGTTCCCAGCTCTGAGTTTGAACCCACAAACCAGCACACGGTCAAGTCCTACTCCCTGCTCTTCAGAGTCTGCTGCCCCAGCTTCAGACCTGCCCAGAACCACGGCCTGGCCAATGGGGATGCCCTCCACAGCAGAGGTCAGAGGTCACACAAGAGATTTCTTTTGGGTCACTAATGATAACACACGGCATTTTAATGGAACAATAATTTGAGTGAAATTCAATGGCTATAACATGTGCCCTTATTGTTTTTGTTAAAGGACCCATATTAGGTTTTTTTCAAATCTATGTTCTAATGTTTTTCCTCATCAGAAACATACCTGGAATTGTGTTTTGTTTCATTCACACATACACATCTTACATATTTAGTTCTTCTCTCAAACAGAAAATACTCCATGTTGTGATGTCATGTGGTAATATGGGAAGTGCACCACTGTGTTATAAAAATCCATACACCTTCACTAGACTCATTTGGCTCATTTCAGCCCAGGAATTTCCGATCTCTATTAAACAAAAGGTCGAAGGTAGCTGTTCAAAAATTAATGTTTCATGACATTACAAGGTGGAACAGAGCATTTTGAGCTTTGGAGTTATGACTTAAAGCTCACAAGAGTCAGTTTTGCATATAAAGATATACAACCACCAAATATAATCACAACCTGGTGCCAGTGTTAATTTTGTTTACTAAAAGTGATGGGTTTCAGATGACATCTCAACATTCTGTAGGCCAATAATATTTAACACAGATGGGGTGGTCAAAAGACTAAGACTAAATCTAAATCTTCTTTGTACAATACAGAAGAAAACATTTTTGCTTTAATTTAATAAAATGTAGTAGCAAAGTTGGGTGTTTTTCAGATTTCTCAGAGGAAGCAGTGAACAGGAAGCGGAGGAACTCTTCTCTCAAAGACGAGACAGAGACAACTTTTGTGGCTCAGATGACTGTCTTTGATAAAAACAGGTAAAAAAAAACTCAAACATGACTTATCTATACCCCAGTTATGAGGTTTGAACAGGTTTGAACATGTTAAACTCATGACTGGGGGCAAAATAGCTTTTACTGAGAACAACTTTAATGCTGGTTTATTCTTAATTTCAAAAACTCTTAATATGATGGCCAAGTTGTTGGTTATAATTTGACTGGATAATAGTCTTGAGAACCAAAACACCACAAAGCAGAATGAGCCTCACATGAGTACTATAAGCACTTAACCTAAAAGAAAAGAGGAAAACCTTATCTGATTTGCCACTACCTAAAGTCCATCCTCTGCAGCAGTCATGAATTAGTGCTAGTGCAGCCTCTGCAGCTGCACTAGCACATGAGGCTTGTCTATAAATAAGGAAAGAAGAAAACTTAGAGCACACATACATATGTACATACTTATCTGGTTGGGTTAAGGCCTTTACCTTAACCTGTGATACTGATTACAGTATCTTTTCTAAGTGTAGGTTAAATAGAAGTTCCTTAAATGTTCACATCTGTGTTGAAGGCGGCTGCAGCTTCTGGACGGGGAGTACGAGGTGTCTCTGCAGGAGGTGGAGGAGAGTCCCATCTGCAAAAAGAGGGCGACATGGGAGACCACTGTGGATGGAAAGGTGTGTGTTATGGGTTCTTATTTTTAAGGTAGAACTATTAATGGGCAATATGCCAAAAATCTATGTCAAAATTGGCTTAAACTGGGGAAACTAAGTAATCACACTGCAACTGCAAATTAAGCTATTAATACCTGAATAAAAGCCTAAGCAATAAAAGTCTTTAAACCTGGCCTGGTTAGTACCTGGATGGGAATTCCAGGTGCCACAGTGGGGTGCCTGTAACAAAATGTCATTGTGTCCTTAGGCAAGGCACTTGCCTGTGTTTGTGAGTGATGATGGTGGTCGAAGGGGCCAATGGCACAGACTGGCAGCTTTTCTTCCATCAGTCTGCCCCAGGGCAGCTGTGGCTGCAATAGTAGCTTACCTCTGAGTGTAGAGTGAATGAATAATGCACTGTAAAGCACTTTGGGTGTCTTGAAAGGTGCTGTATAAATCCAATAATTAATTCATAAAAAAACTGGATCACAACAAAAAGAATGTTCACACTTTGCTGTCACTCCAGCGGTCACTCAGAGTATGATAGAGAAAGTGTCTGTGTAGAACTACATTAAACAGGAAATAAGTGAAACGCCGTATGATGATATGATGATAAAATATTATAATAAAATGTCAGAGTATAAGATCAGGATTCCAGGATTTGATTTTTTTCACCCATCCATGATTTGAACTGAATCTAACTGTAATATTTTCCCCCTACAGCGTTTGCCTCCATTTGAAAACTTCTCTCAGGGTCCCACTCTTCAGTTCACTCTTCGTTGGACCAATGACACCTCAGAGACTCCCCCCACCCCCACTGCAAAACCTCTGTCCACTCGCAACACAGACACCAACCAAGAAGTCAACCAGGAAGTGACCTTGGAAATGACCCCAGACATCACCCATGAAACTAAAACAATAGCATCACCTACGCAAGGTGAAGAGTCTGTGGTGCTTTTATGATAAAGGATTTTGTATAACAGCAAAAAAAGGCATTATCAGTGTTAATATCTCTTTGTAATTAGAAAATAAATACAGCCAAAAATGTCTTAAAAGTAAAGATGAAATACAATTAAACAAAACATTTTCAGGAGCCTGTGATCATTACAAGCATTCACGGTTCTGTTTAGGTGTTTATTTTCAGCATAAAGAAGAAAGGGTCTAACTGAAACTGTTAGCTAGTGCTAGTTAGTGAGTGTAATGTTATTTGAGAGACTTGTTTAACAGCACAAACCAGCTCATCTGTTGTAGTTCCCGTTAAGTCAGTTCTTTATGGTTGAATCATGTTAAGACAAAACTCCAACTGGAAGCTTCAGACAGAGCAGTGCTTTCAGTTAGCATTACATCCCCAGGGATTGTTGATGACATCAGCTGCACCGTATCAATTTATTATTATTATCTTTCCTTGTTTTTAGCTGTTAAAGAGACTGTAAACACAGATGCACAAATGAAAAAAGAGCTGGTCTCATCTGAACCACGACAGAAACTACGCATCTTCTACCAGGTAAGAGTCACTTGGGCTCGAAGGTTATGGGATTATTTAGGGACTTTAGTTCACCCTGTTGGAACATGGAAAGCCAAGATTCAGAATGTAATTGGAAGCACAAATTCAATTCAGTTCAAAAAAAGTTGGTCTAATAGGTTTGTGTGTTCAGTTCCAGTACAACCACAACACTCGTCAGCAGACTGAAGCCAGAGACGACCTGCACTGCCCCTGGTGCACCATCAACTGTAGGAAACTCTACAGCCTCCTCAAGCACCTCAAACTGTCACACTCACGTTTCATATTCAACTATGTGGTAAGGATTTGTACTACTATTATACCTCTGTTTCTAATGCTACTGTTATTATGCTTTATATTCAACTATGTGTTAAGGATGTGTACTAGTACTACTACTGCTGCTGCTGCTGTTCCTTACTATTCTTTTCTCTCTCCTCAGCCTCACCCTAAAGGAGCTCGGATTGAAGTGTCCATTAACGACTGTTACGATGGCTCTTACGCTGGAAACCCTCAAGACGTGCACAGTCAGCCCGGATTCGCCTTCAGCCGGAACGGACCAGTCAAACGCACTGCCGTCACTCACCTCCTCGTCTGCAGGTCTGAAACCTCTTCTACACAATATAACTTTAGAGTAGAACTTTAGCAGATAGGAGTGTTTCTTGGACAGTTAAGAACAGTTCAGACTGCATGCGGTACAGCTCTGGTCCGGTGGCTGTGAGTATTTAGTTTTGGATGGATTCTATTTTTGCCAGAGGCCAGAGCAGCCGCAGCCTTTTTGCTTAATAAATAAATAGTTATCGCCCAAACACCTGGTCCCTGTGCAGCCTTAAAAGCCAGTGACTGTAACAGCACAGCAGAACTCGGCTCTGTGAGTGTCACAGCAGTAAGACTTGTCCCACAGTGAGGTGCACCTGGACCGGTTGCAGTCTATGCCCAGGGCAAATTGTGTAAAAAGGTTTCAGTTCCAGGATCAGAGAGAGATACAGAGAGATCCCTTATTGATCCCAAGGGAAATTCATGTTTTGCAGCAGCATTTGCTCTTCTCAGTGGCCTTTGTGTCTCAATCAAAGGTCTTAGTGCAGTTTAATGAGGACTGGTCAGGGAGGGTCAGCAGATCCTGTGGAAGAGCCAAAAGTGTCCCCCCTCTGTGTCCTGCAGCATCACAGCAGTGTCCACGGGGAGCCAGGTGAACACAACTGAAAAGACCTTACTCTTACTCTGCTCTAGTGTTTTGGTTGGTGATGGTGATAAAATGATCCATTCCCTCAAAGTGTTTCCTCTGGAAGGTCTTGGTCAGGTTCACATACAAAAGTGAGATAACACACATGTTTTGGACATGCTCTTCTTGAGCTCCTCTGGGCCCTGAAGCTGGGATGAAACTAATGCATCCAATGAGCGATTGCCTCCATTGTGTCGATGACATGTGTGGACTCAGCCTGTTAAGCACTTAAGTTGCTATGGTTAATTAAGCAAACCTGTTGGTAAAGGAGGCTTATGAATAATTGTGAACTGTGCCTCAGTTTTTTCACGTTTTGCATATTTTCTTTACACTTTGTCGCAGCCTTTAAGTTTTAACTCCCTCCTCCCCTGTGTGTTTCAGACCGCGGAGGTTAAAGCCGAGTCTGTCCGAGTTCCTGGAGTCTGAGGACGGAGAGCGGGACCAGACCAGGACCTACATCAGTGGACACAACAGACTGTATTTCCACAGTGACTGCTGCATGCCCCTTCGAGCGCAGGAGATGGACAGAGACAGTGAGGACGAGAGGGACCCCGACTGGCTCAAGGAAAAGACTATCAAGGTACAGCAATGTTCAGGCCTGGTTTGATCCCATTTAAAGGTACATTGTGTAACTTTTTTGGTGGAGGGTCTTTGGTCTGGTTTGGTGTCCATGAAGATATAAAAGTTTAATACCATATTGTGAAATATTCCAGACAAAGTTACAAGTCAGATCTGTGGAGAGGCGACCCCGCTCACAGTCAGAATGCCTGTTTTTCTAGGAATTTTTATCTATAAATCCACCTGTAATTTAATAAATGTAAGGTAGAGCTGTTTAATGTCATACTGTGAGACATTTCAGAGAGAGCAATGACATATCCATAGAATCAAGCAGGTGACAGGCCCCCAACCAAAAAAGTTACACAGTGCACCTTTAAGTAGTCAAAATCTCACCAAAACACTAGTTGATCTCCACAGCACAATGGAGTAAAGTAACAGTATTTTTATTTTTGCAGCAAATTGAAGATTTCACAGACGTCAACGAAGGAGAGAAAGAAATCATGAAGCTCTGGAACCTCCACGTCATGAAACACGGGTCAGTGAAAAGAATAGAACAGAAATGATGTTAACTGCTGCACTACTCACAGCTAGTAGGTAAAAAAAAAGATGCATTAAGTAGCTCGGGGTCTCCAACCTGTAGCCCTCCACCCTCTCCCTAAGGGATTTTTTGAATTGTACGCAAGAATAACAGAAATTGTATTAATTACCATTGTAAATCTATCGGTTTGATGCCTTACATTGTGCATTAATAAATGGATAAAGGTTTGTTTCAGAGGCATGGAACTGTACAACATTTAAAGCTCGCCGTGACTCGCAAACTGAAATTCTTACAACTGCTAATCTGAGTAGCTTTCTGGCATTTTCATTTTGTACAGGTAGCTCACTGGAGGAAAAAGGGTGAGACCTTTATGTAGCTTTTCTGGTAGAAGATCTGCCATATGCTTGCCTCCTGCCTTTTTTCATTACATTTATTGTTAAAAAGTACCTTAAAAACATGCATTCTGATTGCAGGTTGCCACTCCACAGATCTGACCTTTAACTTGGCCTGGTGTCGTCACCTGTTTGTCTCCAGGAACTGAAAAAGCAAACCTTTTATACAAAATCTACTTTTCAGAGCTTTTAACCATATTACATCATGGAAATGTTATTGCTTTGTCTAGAATGTTTCACAGTATTGATTAAACTTTCTTTCTATCAGGAAGGAGACAAGCAGGTTACAGCACTATGCTACATTACAGTTCAGGTCTGTGGAGAAGCGCCCCTTTTCATAGAAGGAATTATTCATTACAAATATTTCTATTACTAAAAAATGTAAGAAGTGCTAGATGGAAATATTTAATCTCATAAAATGGAACATTTCTGGGAAAACAGTAACATCTCCATGGAGACAAGCAGGTAGTGAAGGTGCTGCCAGAAAAGTTATGCAGTGCACCTTTACATTTAAAAAGCAGTAATAGTAGGAATGGGACAAGATCTCGCAAGACAAAATTGCGACATAAAAAAAATTGAGTCAAGTACATTTTTTGAGAGGCTGTAGTCCCCAAAATCACTGCTACAATGACAGCAAAAATATAAAATAAAGTAAATAAAAAATGGTGAGGTAAAGAATGTCAAAATCTCATCTTGTGTGATTTGCAGGTTTATCGCTGATAACCAGATGAACACCGCGTGCCTTCTTTTCGCCGATCTCCACGGGCCGTACATCGCCCAGAACGATTTGTGCCGAAACTTCCTCCTCCACCTGGTCAGCATGCACGACTTCAATCTCATCACCACGGCAACCATCGACACCGCCATGTCCAAACTACGGGACGTTCAGAAACTGCAAAAACCCAAACCTGAGTGCGGGAGTGCCAATGCGGAGGAGGAAGACGAGGAGGAAGAGGAGGACTGGGAGACAGCTGCCGAATCACAACCGGATAACGAGTCGGAAGAGTTCAAAAACTGCTCGGAAACGATGAACGGAGCAGAGGCGGAAGACGCGAGATGAAAATTTACAGGAAAAAAACTTGAACTGTCACTTGTAAAACTTGAATATTTGAATGTTAAATGCTCTGCCTTAAAATGAGTGGAATTACATGGATCAAAGTGGCACGATTATGAAGTTTTTTTACTTTTTTTTTTTTAATTGTCAGAAAATATAGTTGGACCTTTGGGTTACAAAACATCTTAAATTATGAGGTACTCCTGACCAAGATTCTGTTTGAAAATCTGGACAAAGTAGGGTTGCAAATACTAAATACTAGTACATAGCTCTGTGTCTCCGACCCAAAGTGCACTCACAAGACTACACCAGCAGGGGGACTATTTATGCAGAAAAAAGCACTAGTAAATAATGTATTTATATAAAGACAGATTCAACTTGTGATGTCATGAGTTTAAGCTGCCTTTTTACATAGAAACTCCAGCTAACTCACTCACTTCTCCTTTTGGCTCTTGTCCCTTATAAATTCCTAACATCTAAATAAAATGATTAGTCAACTAAAGCTATTCAAGAAAGGTTAATTTCTGTCCTGTGAATGTGAAGTTTTTAGTATCGATACTTCCTCTAATGAGTATCTAGTTTCAATACTAGTTCTAGTATTGGTTTGGGTCTGATTTTCAATACTTTTGACAACCCGAGCAGTCGTTGGCCTTCTGTTGCATCTCTAAAATTTACTTTTACTATTCCATAAATTGAAAATATAACTAATTGTAAAAGTAAAGTACATGTTCTATTAAATGAATTCAAAATATTTCTTTACTGTAAACTTACAGGTGCACTGTGTAACATTTCTGGTAAGGAGTCTGCCACAAGCTTGTTTCCATGGAGATATTGTCGCTTTGCCTCGAAGTTTCACAGTATGGCATTGAACTCATCTGTGTTGCTTTTATTAATTTACAGATGTTTTACTGCTCAAAAATACTACGAAAAACATCCACACATCTGACGCATAACTTGGCCTGGAGGCGTTGCAAGCTTGTCTCCGTGGAAACAGATACGTTGTAATGCCATGCTGTTAAACATTTTAGACAAAGCAATAACGTTTCCATGGAGACAAGCAGGTGGCGGACCCTCTATCAGAAAGTTACACAGTGCAGCTTTAATGAGATTGTCTTCAGTGAGGGCAAATTTTTTTCAGAATTTTAGTACTAGTATTAATTTTACTGAGCTAATTTTCTAATATTTATTAAAACTTAAATCAGCTGAGGACCCTATACACCATTGTAGAATACATTTTTATTTAAGTCTTATATTTTCCTGTAAATTACCACGATCGTGACACTTGGGTCCATGTAAAACCACCTCCACGTCTCGACCAAGAAGTGTAAATAAAAAAGACTAGACTTTTTCATTCATTGTTGCGCATAGATCTAGAAACCAAAGTTGTTTTTTTCTACCAACTTCCAAATGTCTACTTATTTATAATGGTGCCACCACCCATCTCCCATCAATTCAAGTTTTGCCATTTCTCTTCAACTCAAACCTTAAATGTTTTAGTTTCATCATTTGTAACTGTGTAAATGTCAAATAGAAACTATAGAAATCTGCTGCGCCAATTTTTAATAATTTGATCCATATCTTTTTGTGAAATTCAGTGATATTATGAAATTTTGTTTTGCAAATATTCAATTATGTTTTGGTGTTCACGCGATTTCATGAAGCTACAGATTTAAGCACAATTGTATTTTTCTTTTCAGGCAGCAAAATTTTCTACTCGGTGCTGGATATTTTTGGTAATTATTGCTGTAAAAAATACAAAAATGTGACATGTTTAAATGTAAACAGTCAACCATTAAAGTTTAAAAACTACTGGGAAGTTGTTGCTTTAAATTTAATCTTTGACCAAAATTTTTCAAAATTATGCATTTCTATGTGTTCAAAGGCTAGAGTAGGTTTTGTTGAAGTAGCATGAATGTTACAGGGATATTTGACTTCTATGGGGTACTAACTGTTAACATATAACATATTTAGATCACCATGCTACCTTTTACTGATTTGAAAATGCTATATTTACAGAAAACACTGCATTTTTCATAATTTTCTGTTTTGTCACTCCCCCTTCAGAGTGTGTTTTTCCCTCATCAAAACCATGCCTGAAGACGTTTTAGATGTCATCCATGCACTTTTGAGTAATATTGCAATATCTCCCGGGTCCTATTCAAAACTGTCCAATGCTTTGCCCACAAGCCTACGGCACCCACACTCCCACACGACAATTCTCCATAAATATACACAAACATGATTACAAGTCTGTACATAACAGTTTGACAAATCTGACATGATAGTTTGATTAACATTAAAAGGGACATTCCAGAGTTTTGGACAAAGGACCTCATTTCCTAGTGAACCAGAGTGTTGGAGGAGGTGTTGTGGAGACACTTTTTAAAATATTCCATCCAGTCCTTGTATTTGCAGAGGTTGCTGGTGCTAGGCTAGTGCATGTCAATGGCCATAGTTAGCCTGCCACTAAAAACAGTCTTACCCACTCCACAAAACACCAGAAAACAAATCTATTATTACACCAGACTGTCCATGTGAATGTTTTAATAGAATAATGTTTGAAATAAAACTAACCTTGCATCGCATGAATCGTCACATGTTGAGGGACTATTTTTTTCAGTAGCAGCGGAATTTTAGTTTGCCGGTAAGATAGGTGCTAGGTGATATCAGTCTGCCACTGCCAAACTTTTCTTTCAGGAATTACAACTCGCTGCTGCTGCTCAGACATAAATCCTTCAAATGCAAGGTTGGTTTTACTTCTAAAATTATTCTGTCAACAAAGACATTTACATCAACAGTCTGGCATGATAATAAATTACTTCGGGTGTTTTGTGGAGTGGGTAAGACTGTTTTTAGTGGCAGGCTAACTATGGCCATTGACATGCACTAGCCTAGCACCAGCGACCTCTGCAAATACAAGGACTGGATGGAATATTTTTTAAAAGTGTCTCCAACACTCTGGCTAACTAAGGCCTTATGTCCAAAATCCCAAAGTGTCCCTTTAACTAGTTAACTGTAAGGACGGTTCGAATAGGGCCCAGGAGAGATTGAGAAATCACTCAAACGTGCATGGATGACATCTAAAACCTCCTCAGGCATGTTTTTAATGACGGAACGTTATAACATGATAGAAAGCCTAAAAGGAATTATTTTTGCATAATAACCCTCTTTAAACTTTCAAAAGTAGAAAAAAATAGATAAGATTTTAGTTAATTTTATGCATTTCTTTTTATTTAGAGTGACTTGTGATATCTTTTTTCTGCAGAATTTTCCAGCTTGAGGAAAAACTTCATGTGATCTTCCATCTTATTGTAACGGCAGGATCAAGTACATCATTTCTCCATTGAAAACCCCTATCCGCTTGATCCTGGACTCTGGGATGAGTTCGGGAAAAGGAAAGACCCATGGAGCTGGAGGCGGATTGGCCAGGTTTGGGACAAGGTATCCTTCGGCTCTCAAGATGTGGTCGTTGTGGTAACCGGGTTGTGTCTGTTGCTGGCTTCCCAACCATTGCTGTGTCTGATTCTGATTTTGCATTCCTCGGACGGTCTTCTGGCATTGTATTTTCGGGCCGATTTGAGGCTGGCTGTGTTGCTGAACGTGGTTGGACGCTGGCTGGGGTCTGTGCTGATCGACCAATAACTGAGGGTGTTGTTGAGCAGCTACTTCCGGGATACCAACTGCAGCGGAGAGGCCTGTAGCTCGGTAAGGCCGCTGTGGCATGTAATGCTGGTGAAGAGGGCACCGCCACGCTATTGGCTGATTCCCCATTGTGTTCACTTGACTCTGCGCTGGATTCTGATTGGCCGCGATGCTGATGGACCAATGGCTGCTGACGCAACGTCCCCTTGACAGCGGGGGAACATCGATTGAGACATGAGTTGGTCGTAGTTGACGACGGGACCAGGCCCAAATTGTGGGGTGGCAAGTGGTGGTTGAAGCTGGTTCGTGATTGGCTGAGGAGCTTGCGGATGGCTGCAGGTTTTGTTGATTTTCTCGATTTTCTTGATCGTCACAGACCGGTGGGTTTTGATATTGCACGTTCTCCTGGTTCTGAGCGGCCAATAACAGCAGTCGTTCTTCAGTTTGCTGAATTTCATGAGTCAATGGCGGTACATTTTGCTGGTCCTGTAGGTTTTGAAGTACATTTTGTTGGTTTTGCATAGGTTGTCCACTCACGGGTTCACTGCGTAGCTCATGGGTGTTCATCAAAATAGCCTCATCCTGGAATTTCGCTTCATTTCCGTCATCTATTTTTGCTTTCTTCGTCTTTGTCTTCTTCATCTCGCCACTTGGTTCTAGTTCGATTTCCAGCGTTCTTGGGCGTTTTTGCAATGAGGAGTCTTCTGAGAAAGTTCTTACAAAAATCTCCATCAACTCATCTGACTCACCAAAGTCAATTTTATCAAAGAAATCCATTTTCAACCACCACTTTTTGAGTGGAGCAGAGAGAAGCTTGTCAGCCTGTGGCCAGTGTCCTTGAATTTGGATCAAAACAACCAATCAGATGTAAATAAGAAACTAGGGAGATCGTTGTCAGGGTAACCTATAGTAAAGAGGTTTGTTTTTTTTTTCTCTTTTATTTGAAATCAATACTGGCAATACAAAATACATTCAGTTATATTACCAAATAAATGTCTAAATGTGAGTTAAGAAGTCTCCTTTTGAACTCCTTCCTGATTTGCGAGGACCCATGAAAATATTATATCTTTTCTCCATTCAAAAGATGTAATATTTTTTATTTTTAATCGGTTAGTTGCTACGACCACGGAGGACGGTTGCCATAGAGCGAAACCCATAGATAAAGATTTCACTGACGTAATTTTATTTTTATTATCAGACAAAGCTTTTTTTTTGCTTTTTATTTGGTCATTCTTGTCTGAGGGAATATTGTTTTCACAGACTCAGAAACATTATTATTATTACGTTATTTAAAGGTGCACTATGTAACTTTTTGGTTGGGGGTCTATCACCTGCGTGTTTCTATGGACATGTCACTGCTCTGCCTGGTATTTCCACAGTATGACATTAAACACCTCTACCTTAGATTTATTCACAGGTGGTTTTATAGCTCAAAAATGCCAAGAAAAAGAGGCTGTGAGTGGGGTCACCTCCCCACAGATCCAACCTGTAACTTGGTGGTTTGGTCTCCGTGAAGATGCCATACTATGAAATATTCCAGGCAAAGCAACATTATTTAGCGGACCCTCCACCAGAAAACTTACACAATGCACCTTTAAGGAGAGAAAGGCTCTGTTCAACTGTGTCTGATCAAAAAGTCTTTGCTCCCCACATTAAGTCACTCCCCCTTCAGAGCGCTATTACAAATCAGAGTGCATCCTGCTAGTGAAGTTGTCAAGTACAGTTCTGTATCATGTTTTTGTGTATTTATGGAGAATTGTGAAAAATCCTACAACTAACAATAACCAGGGTTTGAATAGGCCCCAGGAGAGATCGCTAAATTACTCAAACATGCATGTATGAAATCTAAAATCAATTCAATTGTGTTTTTAATGAGGGAACAATATTATAACACGGTAGAAAGCTAAAGAATAAAATGCATAATACCCCCTCTTTAAATCCTTTCAACTGACATCACTCTTGTCTTTGAGGCAGAAGAACACCGCTTTCTGAAGCTACTGTGAAAATAATAATTAGTTTTGTTTATTCATACTGAGATAACATGTTGAACTTTGTGCCAGTTTTTGTTTCACGTGGATAGACCCAGTAATTACAGAGATATTAACCGTAAACCAGGTCAACATCTAGAGAGATAGTCTACTACAATAAATGACCACAAAGAATTGTCACATGATCCCGTTTTTTATTATTAACAGCATCAACACTTTGTAAACCCAACTCCACAAAACCCAACGTCCTGCTACAACAACACAGATGAATACTGCCAGATTATCTTTGCACAGAACACTTAAAGGTCCTATATTACGCAAAACTACTCTTATGAGCTTATAATGTTGTTACCTCCTCAAAAACAGACCTGAAGTTGTGTTTTGTTGTATTTTGTTTCAATCTGTCTGCATCTGTCCGCCTTATGATGTCATGAAGTGGCCTAAATATGCAGGGTGAATGAAACAAAACACAACTCCAGGTCTGTTTGTGATGGAGGAAACAACATTATAACACAGATCAGAAAACAGCGTAATATGGGTCCTTTACAAACAGAGTAACAGTGTAATCATTGTCATAGGCTCAAGTCTCCTCGATGTTAAATATTCAAAAAACTAAATCTAGAATAACTGTGTAACTTAAAGCTCCTATATTATGCATTATTGTAACATTTGTCTTTCACGTTTAACTTAAAGCACTGTGTAACTTTTCTAATGTCTCCATGGAGATGTTAAAGCTTGTTTGGAATGTTCAGCAGTACGGCATTGCTCTATCTTGGATCTATTCCATTTTCCTGCTGTAAATATACTTTTTTTTTTTTTACTTTAAAAACACGCCTTCTAATTGTGTGCGGACTCGCCTCTCCACAGATCTGACTTTGAAACAAAACTTGTTTTTAAGGAGAGAAAAAAAGATTATCACTTGATTGTAAATACGCAGTGTAAATGTTCTAATAGGGGGTACGCCACCAGCAGGAGGTGTTATTTCTTTGCTTAGAAGGTTCCACATTACGCTTATCTAGATCTCCATGGAGACGAGCAGGAATCACAAGTAGGCCAGGTTACATGTTAGGGGAAAAAAACTTAATGAATAACCACTAGACAGATACCTTTAATGCCATACTGTAGTGCGAAACATTCCAGACAAAGTAAGTACATCTACTTGGAGATATGGAGGTGGAATTCGTGTACCTCCACAACCAAAAATAAAAGTTCCGTGGTGTAGCTTTAAAACCCACGAAAAACCTACATAGCGTAATATAGGAGCTTCAAACTGTATCTTCACAGTGATGTAAGAAATAAAAGGCTAGGAAGAGGCAGTGGCTGTAAGAAATGACACCAAACAAGCTAAAACTAGATATTTAAAAAACAAAATTACATGAAGGCACCAAATGTTTCCTCAGCATTGTTCATGTACAAATAAAAAGGCTAGTTTTTAAATAAGAAAATACATTAGGTTGTATTTCTAGTACCGCCTTCTGCAGAAGCTACATCTGAAATGAGTGGCTGAAATGGAGACACTGAATTGAGAATTTGAACCTTGTATTTCTGAGCCTGAGGTCTTGGTCCACTTTTTGGTGAAGAGTCCTGTGCTGCTTTCAAGTTTTCCTCTGAGGTCGGAGTTTGCAAAGCTGAGAATTACAGTTGACAGTGAATTAAGGTTGCAAGGTTATTGGAAAATATCTAATTCAGATTTTTTGTGATTCAATTCAGTTGTATTTTTGCATAACCCTAAACCATGACAGAATCAGAATTTTTCACAATGATGTTTAGAAGTGCTTTTCACAGTTTAAAGGGCAGTTTTTTGCTGTCACGGTAATGCTAAGCAACAACTAGCATGCCAACTGGGCCATTCCTGGATTGTTGGAAAATAAAATGCTGTATTTGTAATTAGATGCAGACAGTACACAGACTTATTTTGACTTTGTACTGGGGCAAAACAGATTTTGCTCAAAATACATGGAAAGAAATTGGCTAAAGTTTCTTTAATACACAAAAATTTGTCCAAAATGGAGGGACAATATTACAAGCATGTCCTTCATTTAAATTAACCTATTCCAATATAATACTGAAATGCAAGAGAAAACTGATTTCCGACCTCTGAGGAGCACTTGAACTTAGCACAGGTCTAATACACCAGCACTTTCCAGCCGGAGTGAGCGAAGGAGCAGCCGAAAAAGAGCGCGTCCAGGCTGTGCTCCACCAGCCAATCAAAGACCACTTCCCTGTTCCCTGAGCCAATCGTAACGCGCAGTTTGGCCACACTCGCCCCGTCGCCGTGGAGACCGGGCTGGACGCTGACCACCTCCATGTCGAAGGTCACGGCCGCGCCCAGAACCAGCGCCGGCAGCTGATTGGTCATCTCTTTACCGTTAACGAACACTGCACCTGGAATGAGAGAGAGAGAAGGCAGATATTTAACATTTTGTTAATTGTAAGCAGAAATATTGATGATATGTGTGACCCAGAGTAGGAATTATGGTAATTACAGAAACAGAACATTGGGCAGAGACGGGGGTTACATGGAAAATGAAGTTTTTGGAGCACTTCCTGAGGATAAGACAGGCCTCTACTCTCATACGCCCCCTCCACACTAGTACATATTTGAGTCGTTTTCATTGGGGATGCAGTGGTCGTCCACACCAATTGAAAACGGCTCCAGAGACGGAACGATCTGGTGCCGCCAGCTCCCACAAATTCATCTGAGTATGGATCTGATCCGGTACTGTGTGGACACCTGAAAACGCTGATACGCTGACGTAGGTGTATCCGCCGCAAAGTAATTCACCTCCAAAATGTTAAGAGGCTAGAATATATGTCCATTCATATATACCGTCTATGCATATGACCTGCAGACGTATAATCTCTGAAAAGTTTAACATGAACCTCCAAGACGACAGAAGTACAGAACAGACTCACCATCAGCAGAACATCCCTCTGTCACAGAAGAACACTCATATTCCACTGAGTCATGTCCTTTAGTCTGACAGAAGCTGAACTGCATCAGAGCACAATAACAAGTTGTTTTTTGAGCGCTCAGTTTATGCAAATGAGCCATGCGGTTTTAAGTTTAATTTCTGTAAAACTTAAACAAATATTCTCAGAGCTGTGTGGATAGGGAAGGCTTGCAGACACAGAAATGACGTGTCTGGACGCAGACTGTTTCAACAGTGATATGGTGATTAATTTCAGTGTAAACATAACCATAATTTTTGAAGGTGCACTAGGCAACCTTTCTGATGAAAGATCTGCCACCTGCTTGTCTCCATAGAGATGTTATCGCTTTGCCTGGAATGTTCCCTGGTATGACATTAAACATATCCATCTAGCATTTATTCATTACGGGTGTTTTTATTGCGCAAAATACAATACAGTAATTCCTTTTGTGAATAGGGGCGACTCTTCATAAATGTGAACTGTAATGTAGCGTACTCCTGTAACCTGCTTTTCTCTCTCATGATAAATAGGTTTAATCTATACCGTGGAACATTCCCGACAAAGCAACAACATTTCCATGGAGACAAGCACCTCTAGATCTAAATTAATCTAAGCTTTAAACCTTTAAATCCAGGCTCAAACCAGTTCTGTACATATGACTACAAGGGTTTTATTCTGTACTCTTGTCTTAATGTTTTTATTATGCTTTACAAATAAACTTGCCTAAAGCCAGATAATACCGGATTAGTCCAACTCAAATATGCACCAGTCAAGTAAAGTACAACTCAGAGAAAGCCAACATTGAGGGACGACAACAACAATGCTGATTTTTCATAATATGTCCCATTAAATGAATGCGTTCCCCCCTTCTTTGAGAGTTATACCGTTGGTGGATATGCACACGGCCTGGTCCCTCTGCAGAGACTCCTCTCCTCGGCTGTTGTCCACACAGACCCCCAGACTGTCCCTGTGGTCCAGCGCCCCCACAGCACTGATCCTGAACACAAACATCAACAAAACACATACACTTTATTATTATTTATTCAATCACTTCAATAGCAGCTCAGTGGTTAGAGCAGTGGTCCCCCAACTTGATGGTCGGGGGAACATTTCGAGGCAGGACACTTCGCCCGCATTGCCTAGTATGAATCTGGTGTGTTTGTTGTTGAACCTTATCTTTATTTGTTAGAGACTGTCTCCAAAAACTTGACATATTAATAATCTTGTGGCTTCAAGACCTTTCAACTGACAACAATCACGTCTTTGGGGTTGAACAATGGCACCACATTTTGAAGCTCTTATAAATACAATTCACTGTATTTATTTTCTACAGGCAGAGAAGAAGAGCTAAACTTTGTGTGTCTTTTTTTTTGGGGATAGGCCCAGTAATTACAGAGCTATGAACCATAAACCAGTCCCACCATAGAATTGTGACCTGTCCTCCAGCTCATTTTAAACTATAGGGATTCTACAATGTTGTGAAGTAACGTAAATGCTATATATTCATTAAATAAATAAATAAATGTGTGTGTGTGTTTTTTGTCTCTAGAGCAGTGTAGTCCATACTTGAAGGTGAGGGTCTGCCCACAGAAGTAGGTGGGGGCTCTGGAGTACAGGACACAGCAGCGGGACACTGAGTCATTTCTGAGGGCGATGTTCCTCCTGGAGCTCAGCACATACCCCTCTGTCCCAGGACACCACTCTGTGAGAGAGAAAGAGACAGTGAGAGGGTTTAGGGGAGCAATCAGAAAGAAAGGACATCTCTAGGGAGGTATCTGACTATGAGTAATCCAAACTGAACTTGAACATTCACTGTATGAGTAACGAGAATATCATCCATAAACTGCAACACTGTGAACACAACCCTCCTCTCTCACCCTAATTTAACATGTAAAACAGGTGGTTTTGCTTTTCTTCACATTTGAAAGCAACATTCACATGATGTTTTTTTTTTTATTCCGAATTAATTGTTCTGAATTAAATAGTTCAGAATTAAAATATTCTCCTTTGAGATTACATGGCAATAATAATTCCAAATTGAGGTTTACATGGAAAACACGTTAAATTGCCTTTATTTAATTCTGCTTAACGTCTGGGGGTGGGGAAGAGTTCTGATTGGACACGGACACCAAGGCATTTACGTCTACTGGAAGAAAACACACACTTCAGCTGCTACCGGCTTTTTTGTCATCTCAGTTTGTCATTACGCCACGGACACAAACATGATAGAAAGTTTTTCCGCGTTTTTTCCGATAATAATTGTGCAGCAGCTGAAGAATTCTCTCATCACGTGTTACGTCTGTCAGCTGAGGAGAAGAAGGGAAAAGTGTCAGAGAAGGGAGGAAGAAGACAAACTGAGTCAACAGCTGCTCTGCCTCAGCCCACTCCAGCAGCCCGCTCACAAATCCAAAGAGCAGTGGATGAAAGTCCAAAACCAGGACTGGTGAAGCTGGCTCGTGTGAATCGCGTCAGAAGGGTGACCCAACGAGCATGCACTGAACGACTGTAATTATTTTTAAGAAGAATAAACGTTTACATGATCGAGGAATAAATTAATTTGGTGGGGGGTCCACAACCTGCTTCTTTCATGAAGATGTTATAACTTTGGCTGGAATGTTCCACTGTATGGCATTAAACATATCAGTCTGTGTTTATTCAGTTAAGGATTGAAAATAAAATGCAGACTTTTAGCAGGGTCTCTTGCATGTCACCAGGGAGATGGATAAGGTTAATGTCATACTGTGAAAGCAAAGCGATAACATCTCCATGGAGACAAGAAGGTAATTTACCTCCTACTGGAAATGTTACACTGTGCACCTTTAAAGACGTTAAATTGCATTGTCCTTTTTACATAGTCTGTATATCTCACATTATGGGGGGGAAAAAAACATTATTTCAGAAGTTTAAGCACTTTTTTTTTTCTTTTTTTAAATTAGACTTTATTTTAACATTTGAAGCTAAAACAAAGTAAAATGTAATCTTAATAATGGGTTTATATCTTTATTACAATCAATATCTTACTGTAGTACACAGAGCCTCCTCTTTAGATGAGATCAAAGTCTGAACATCTACAGATCATTCCAGATTGAGAGATCGCAATGAAAATACGACACCATCTTAAAACCTGGTCGAATCTCACCTTAATTTTCGTTCCCAAATCCCAAATCACCATCTCCACAGTTTCAAAGGTGTTCTCGGTCTGATGTGGGATTACTGGAATAAGCCGTCCACCTCTGCTGTTGTCATTATTGTTATTATGATACTGTGATGTGTTTTGGGGGGTAAATTCATTTGGTAAGTAAGTAAGTAAGTCAGTCTTAATTTTAATAGGGCTTTTCTCAGACACATGTCACAAAGATGCTTGACAGAGCTTTATTCATTCACTCCATACACAGTGATCGTAAACTACTATTGTGGCCAGAGCTGTACTGAGGCAGACTGATGCGTGACTGTGCCATCGGTCCCTCCGACCACCACCATCACTCACACATACCACTTTCATACTAGGCAATGTGGGTGAAGTGCCTTGCCTAAGGACACAACTGGTGCCCCACTGTGACACCTGATTTTCCCAGTGGTCTCCATCCAAGTACTATATAGCCCCAGTCTTGTTTAGCTTCTGAGATCTGACAGGATCAGACTTTGAGAAGCTGGTATGGCCACTTATGGCCACACTTGGTGATGGTTGTGGTTTATTTGTGGCGCACGCCAGATTTTTATCCATCACCGTGACCCCTTAAAAGACAATGTAAGAGCAAATATTTCTTATCTAACATTAATTTATTATGGTAAGGATTATCAAACGCAAGGTCATTTACACACTAGCAATTTGAATATTAATGCATAGAAATTTTTTTAGGCATAAATTTGTTAGTAGTATTAAAGATGTGCTATGTAACTTTTCTGCTGAGAGTGATAATGGTAATGTTAGAGTATATTGTTCCTCAGTATGGCATTAAACTTTTCAATCTCCTTGGAGACAAGCCAGAGGCGCAACCAGGCCATGTTTACTGGTCAGATTTATGGAGAAGGAGGTGACCCCACTCATAATAAGAATTCATGTTTAGTAGTTTTTATATGAGTACTTTATACTTTTACTCAAGTTTCGCAGTAACACTTGTAATTGAGTAGATGTTTTGCTGTGTAACTGTACTTTGACTCTCAGATTTTCAGTCGTCTTTTCACCATTTGAACCAAGAAACTAAAAGGAAGACTGAAGAGCCGATTTAAACAATGAATATACCGGTTAAAGAAAGAGGAGGAGGAGAGAGAAATGAAGATAGAAAATCAAACCTACCGCCTTAAAGTGGGACTAAACACCTAAACTCCTCCCACAAACACATTTCAAATAGAGCTGATAAACTGAGTGGTACCTGGAGGACTAAAGAAGAAAGTAAAAGGAGAGAGGGGCGGGGCTAGGGGGTATGAAAAACAGTGTGATTAGGTTAACAGGTATCCATCCGCACTACAAACTCCCCCCCATAGCCAGGGATTTGTAAACAGAAACACCTGGCTGTAATCAGGGTAGTCCTGCCTGATGTCACATAGTACTTGACACCACAGGGGCCACTTGGAGTTAACACACAGATTTTTACATATTTTTGACAAGATTATTTTGCATTTCTATTTTGCTCTAAAATGACCAAACAAGCACTAGAAAGTAAATAACATTAAAGATGCACTGTGTAACAGGTGGGGTCCGCCACATGCTTGTTTCTATGGATATGTCATTGCTCTGCCTGGAATGTTCCACAGTATGACATTAAACAGCTCTACTTTACACTTATTCAATCACAGGTGGTTTTATAGCTCAAAAACACCTAGAAAAACAGGCATTCTGACTGTGAGCGGGGTCGCCTCTCCACAGATCTGCCCTGGAACATGGTCTGGTTTAGTCTCCATGGAGATAGAAATGTTTAATACCATACTGTGAAACATTCCAGATGAAGCAATGGAGACCAGAAAAGTTACACAATGCACTTTTTAAAAAACACCATTAGTTTAGTAGCAAATATTTTTTTGTGATGTAATTTTTACTTTCACTTTTAAAACAGCATTGAAACCGCTTTGCAGTAACTAGTATCTTGAGAATACATATTCTTCTTTATAAACTATATGATAATTTAACATTATTTTCCAAAAAGGCAGTTTAAACAGTAATTTAGCTCCCAGCCTCATTTACATGTCGGCCATTTTGTGACATGCACAGTACTCAGCTCCAGGGTCGACTTGGGCTTGGTTCCATATCCAGAAATGTTGGTCCTAGGGATGTTACTAATCTGGCAAAGTTTCATGCTTGTACCATAAAAATGAACAATTGGGCACCTTTTTGGTCCTTAACAGCTTCACTATAATATTTATTCAGAGTAAATTATTTGTATTCAAAATGAAAGCTCTCATGTAAACGTGGCAAGTGTGAAGTTAAAGTGCATTGTAAATAAAATTTATTGTTAATGATAAAAGCCTATTTATAGCATATTGAGAGTGAGCTAAGAAAGTACCTGAGCCTACCCCCTTCAGTCTGAGGCTAGGCCGGCCAGAGAGCTTCCATGACTGAATTAAAATGTAAGTGCCAAACAACAGTGTATGGATCTGTCCTGCTGGTGTCTTTAAAACTGTGACTGTTTGTAAAAAACAGGTTTACATATTCATTCATGTTGCATATTGCTTTAGTATAGCTTTGTGTGGTACGTGTGGATTTATGAGTGACAGGATTGCCTCCTCTTAGTGCAAAAGTCAAACTCTGTCCCTGAGGATGGGGACACATATTCCTACAGCAATAATAAAGTGTTCCTTACCCTTCATATTCAGTGACTCATTTAGGCAAGATTTCAGAAAAAAAAATCCTACATTACCTTTAAAGGGCCTATATATAGGGCTATTTTCTGATCTATGTTGTTTCCTCATCAAAAACATACCTTGACTTGTGTTTTGTTTTATTCACATGTTTAACACACAAATCCTGTATATTTAGGCTGAGCTCTTCTCTCAGACTGAAAACACTCTGTTCCACCTTGTGATGTCACGTGGTAATACAGGAAGTGCTTCACTCCATAGTCTATACAACTTCACTAGAATCCTTTAGATAATTTCAGTCCAAGAATTACCAATCTCTACTTAACAAAAGGTTAAAAGTATCTGTCAACTTGGATCACAAGAAAGAAAAGAACATTTTGAGAGTTAAATCTAATAATAAAGCATTTGTGAATTAAATAAAACACAACTACAGGTATGTTTTGATGAGGTAACAGCATTGCAACATGGGTAATCTGCATAATATAGGACCTTAAAACTTCCTGAAAACACCCCATTGTCGTGTGTTGTTCTCACCATGTGCAGCCAGAGTGGTGGAGCCTGTCTGGGGGATGCTCCAGGGGCTCCACTCGGTCCGTCCCTCTCCTCTGGCACTCACTCTGAATTGATAATCTGTGTGCGCGTCCAAATGAAGCACCAGGAACTCCTGCTCTCTGCCGATGTACGCGTCCTCGTACTGACTCCCCCCGGTGCCCGAACGCCGACACTGCAACCGGAAATCTGCAGCCGCAAAGTCGTCGTCCACCTGCGGAAAGAGATATAACATGCCATTTATTTAGCTGCATCTAAAAGGTCTAAACTAAGGACGTAAGCTGTTTTATATAATAGAACCCCATACAGCCTGTGTTCAAATTAATTTATTTTATTTATTTTGCAAATGTAGTTATGTAGTTAGTAGTTAATAAAAAATAAGTTAGTCTTAAATAGCTTTTTCCAGACACTCAAAGCCACTTTACAGTTTGGTGCATTATTCATTCACTCCACATTCACTCGTAGTAAGAAACTATTGTAGCCACAGTTGCCCTGGGACAGACTGGTGCTACGTTCAGACTAGAGATGGGACAATAAATAATATCGTTCATCATGATAAAAAGAGTACACTGTAATGGTTTGTGTGACATTATATATAACTGTGATTATCGCCAAACAAAGGTAAACTTGCAATACCAGAATGTGCAGAAAAAAGCTCCTTCTCTGTGATGTTTTCTTCTAGATCATTGTTGATTTCACTCATAACAAACTACAATTCTATGACAGTTGTTTAAAGGTGCACTGTGTAACTTTTCTGGTGGAGGATATGTGAAACGCTTGTTTCCATAGAGATATTGTTGCTTTGTCTGGAATGTTTCACAGTATGTTATTAAACCTTTCTATCTTCATGGAGACCAAATCAGACCAAGTTACAGGTCAGATCTGTGGAGAGGCAACCCCACTCACAGTTTTTTGAGATATTTTTGAGCTATAAAACCACCTGTAATTGAATAAAGTAGAGCTGTTTAATGTCACACTGTGGAACATTCCAGGCAGAGCAGTGACATATCCCTAGGAACAAGCAGGTGATGAGCCTCCAACCGTATATGGAACCTGTTCATAATACTAAAATCATATCCATAACATTTTTAACTGTCAGCAACCTTAATACTTATTATATAATAGTTAATTATAATTATTTTGGCCACGAAAATCGTGACACCAAATTTTACTATCGTCCCATGCCCAGTTCAGACTGTGGTGTCAAAATCACTGTAAACACCTGGACATAGATCAAAAAAGATCAGGCATTGACAAGCAGGTGTGTAAATAAAAGACTCCTTTTAGCTCAGTTACTTTTCTGGTGGAGGGTCCGCTACCTCTCTGTGGAGATGCTATTGCCCTATCTTACATTTATTCAGTTACAAGTGGTTTTATAGCTCAAAAATACCTATAAAAACAGGTGTTCTGACAGTGAGCGGGGTTGCCTCTCCACAGATCTGACCTGTAACTTGGTCTGGTTTGGTCTCCATGAAAATAGAAAGGTTTAATACCATACTGTGAGACTTTCCAGACAAAGACAATCTCCTTCGAGGAAAGAAATTGAAGGACCCTCCACCAGAAAAATTATATATAATGCACCTTTAAGCTCATTATAATTTGTTGTTGTTGTTTTATTTTTTTTTCTGTTAGTCTTTTCTCTCTCCCTCACCTTGCACCATCGCACCAGTACCCCGCCCGGCCTCTCCTGTAGCTCTTCTATCTGCACCGGAGGGTAAGAGGAGACTGAGCCGTGCCGGGACACTTTCTCCTTTAGCGCTCCCAAGAGGGAGTCATCGAGCTGGGCAGAGACACAGGGCACGTCCACCAACGCAGGGACCTCAGGGAGACTGGGGACGAAGCAGAAATACAAGTTTGAAGACAATTTAAAAGTGGTATACCTGATTTTTTACCGTCTTAAAAATGTGGAAAAAAAAGAACTAGGTCATTTTAAACAGTTTGCAGCAGTTCAAAGTTATTCCACACTTTAATAACACTTTCCTAACATTAGTTTATAAGCACTTTTCATAATTTTCAGAGACCAGACTTTAGTTTTGTCATCACAGTGATTGAGAGTTTATTTCAAATTCACTTTTTGTATGTATGAGATAAAAAGAAAAACAGCACACACAGCGCACTTCCAAGTTTGCTGATGATAAAATGCTAGATGTAGACTGCAAACAGCAATCTCAAGAGCTGCTTTTATAATATATCTGTACTGGGGCAAGACAGATTTTACTTTTACATGAAAAAATGGCATACAGCTCCTTTAAAAAGTCCACGGCAAAAGCTCTAAGTATTTGCTGAGTGTGTTACCTGTCGAGTTGGATGTGCAGAGCCTTTTTGGTGAAGCTGCCAAGTTTGTCCTCCTTCTCTCCCAGACCACACCTCAGAGCCGCCTCTCCTGAAATCACAGGCATGTTTGTCAAAGTATTTTTTTTATTATTATTATTTTGCTTTTATATTCTAAAAAAAAACAAAAACATTGATTTTAATTTTTCTTTTTTAGGGTAATCAAAGTAGAACTCTAGGAATGAAAATGAATGTTTTAGTATCTGGTAACACACAAAAGATTTTGTTGTTTTTGTTTGAACATTTTGTTGAGCGACAATACCCATTTATACTGTAAAATATTTTGCACTGTAAGGATTCAAAACCTTTTCATCCTCAGGGCTCAAACTTTTCTGTACATAGTAGTTTGTGTATTATTATAATGTGCTGAGCATGTAGGTGCTCGCAGGCCTATGATTAATATCAACAGTGAAATGATTCATTTTCTTTCATTTCTGTTATCTAACACGTCACAGTATGTATTCTGAGTGATAAAGTGAAGTTGACATGACATAAACAGCCAGATAAAAAATAACTTCACATTAATTTGCCTTTTTTGAAGAATAGATTGAATGGAAATGACGATTATCATTTTGAAGTTGTTATCATTATATAGCTGTGACCTGAATTATCATGACCATCAATTAGCTGAATAATCTTGACATCCCTAGCTAAAAGTCACTGGTTTAATGGCCCCTGACCCCGTACCCTCTCGGAGCAGCTCGTCAGCCTGTCCCACCCCATGCTCGATCAGGGCCTGACAGTCGTCCAGAGGTTTGATGCTATCTGCCTCGATGGAGTCCACCTCCAGGAGCAGAGAAGCGAGTCTCTCCTCCAGAAGACGAGAGGCAGAAGACTGAAGTTCAGAGAAGTGTCTCCTCAGAGCCTCACGTGCCTGACTCGAACTGCCGCGGACCTGAAGAACAAAACAAGATTGACATGGAAGAGAAAGATAATGTATTAACAATATGGCAAAAATAATTCACACATTTCTATCCTTGTCTTATATAACCTTTCCAATATTATGCTATTCTCGTATCTGTTATAATGTTGTTTCCTCATCAAAAACATACCTGGAGTTGTGTTTAGTTTCATTCACACATAATACAAACCCTGCAGAGTCCAATGAGATTTATTTGGTCTTCTGATATTTTATGTTATTACCTCCACCAAGGAGGTTATGTTTTTGCCGGCGTTTGTCTGTTTGTTTGTTTGTTTGTTTGTTTGTTTGTCTGTCTGTTAGCAACATAACTCAAAAAGTTATGGACCGATTTTGATGAAATTTTCAGGATTTGTTGGAAATGTGAAAAGGAAGAACTGATTTCATTTTGGGGGTGATCCGAAAGAAATCCTGGATTCTGGATCACTTTGAAATTTTAGTTAACATTGTGGTAAATGGGGCCAAAAATTTACTTTCTCAATATCTTGGTTAATTATTGACCAAACCCCATGAAATTTGACTCAGGGATGGACAATGGGATCCTCTTTCATATTCCAAAGGCTGATCCGGATCTGATCCAGAAGACTGATTTTATCGCAATTTATATAAAAAATGAGGGTAGTCCTTGGCGGAGGTTTGCGCTCTCTGAGTGCTTTTCTAGTTAGGTTATTTTTTCAGACCAAGAATTTTGTTTCATACTTGACAGTTTCGACTGCTCACTAGCGGTCTTCCTCAGAGTGGTCACGTGGTGTTGCTGTGACGTGTCTGGTCAGCTGATTTATACAGATTTTGGCGCTGTCTTCCTACCGGTGGAGGCAGTATGACAGCGCCATCTGCAGTCCGACTTCCTCAGGACAGTATCCCAGGTGTGTGAGAGTAAAAAAGCCCCCTTGTCCCGGTTTTTAACCCTGCAGAGTTCTTCTCTCAAACAAAAAACACTCTGTTCCACCTTGTGATGTCATGTGGTAATACAGGAAGTGCACCATTGTGTTTTTAAACTTCATACGCCTTCATTAGAATCATTTGGATAATTTCAGCCCTGGAATTTCCAATCGCTAAAGAACAGAAAGTAAAAGGTAGCTGTTAAATTGAAAACTACTGCTTCATGACATCACAAGGTGGAACAGAGGATTTTGAGCTTTTTTGAGATAGACTAATAATAAAGGATTCTTGTGTGAATGAATTAAAACACAACTCAAGATATGTTTTTGATGAGGTAACAGCGAGACAACGTGGCTAAATTCTTAAGAGTAAATTTGTCTATAATTTAGAACCTTTAAAATGTGATTCATTGCAGAAGCAGTTATTTGCAAACAATTCAGTCTTCAAATACAACAAAACCCATCAAAAAACTCAGCAGAAACTACATTTTTAATTCATTCCTCGTGTTGATTTTGGCGGTTGTATGTGTTGAGACAGCGTTAAGTTTGTGATGTGCAGAGGCCCACGTTTCACTTCCTCTGTCACTGATTTCACAATGACTGAAACTGAGCCCAGAGCTTCAGGAAGAGAGAGACGGTCACCACTGCGACAGAACGACTGCACCAGAGATGTTATCGTGGTTATAATGGACTATGGTCTATAAATACAGCAGTGAGAGCAGGCAAGGATTCACAAATGTTTAGAGATGCAAACCTGATAACATTGTGTAGAATTCAGGCACAACTAATAAAAGATCTATTTATTTACAAGAGAAACAGGACTGCAAAGATTATAGTCTGTTTATAGACAAGATAACAATTATTGATGATTAATGTGGACAATGTTACCAAGTCAAAGGGCTGAAAAATGTATAGCTTTTGACTTAAAGTTGCAATTTGAAACAATATGATAATGCATTTTGAAGCGTAACATATTGCTACAGAAAGACAGAAAGAAAGATAAGATAAAGATACTGGAACTACTTTATGCCACAGACACAATGAAAACAAAGCAAGATAACACCAGTAAACCATTTTCAAAAGGCCTGAGTTGCAGTGGATAAATAACAGTATTAACTAATAATGAGCCATAGAAGTCACTTTTTTAACCTTGTACAGATAAAATTTTATAATATTGCAACAAAAATATCCAAAATGTCCTCAGTTTTGCAACGAAACTGTACACGATAAATCCTGAGTCCCCCCAAAAATTGTTCCGGCTTTCTTGTATTGAATGACATAGTAATTATCGTGACAGGCATATTTACAAGAAAAACAGGACAGTAAAGATTAGGGATGGGACAAGATCTCGTGCCACAAGACAGTGCACACATGCGGAAAATGATCTCGTGAAATTTTTTTTCGATGTTTTTACATTTGGATTGGATAACAAAATGAAGTACTGATGAGTCACATTATTTGAGAAGCTGTAGTCCCAAAAAGCACTGCTACATTGACAGCAAAAATGTCAAATCAATAATTAAGCTAAAATTGGGAACTGGATTGCACAATTTATTTATTATAAAGAATGTCAAAATCTCCTCTTGTCTCATTCTCATAGTTCTAATCTTGTGTTTCGTCTCGTTTTGAGGAAATTATATCTCGTCCCACCCCTAGTAGAGATTATAGTCTGTTTATAAACCAGATAATGATAACTGATGATTCATGTGGACAATTTTACCAAGTATAAGCGCTGAAAATGTTATTGCATTTGACTCAAAGCTGAATTGTCACATTAAATAACTGAAACCTAAAGATAGATTGACCATTCAGATCATGGAGGGTTCTAGCCAACTGTTTTTAGAATAAACCAACTTTACAATTGTTAGTATTTGATTTGAGCCTTATATTAATCTATCTGGGGACACTGAAGTTTTTTATGCAGTTTGAAGTAAAATTCCACATAACGTACTCTCCTTTTAAACACAATTCCCATTGCAAAGAACAAAATATCCTCTTATTTTGTTTAGACCCTGCTAACTCTGAAGTTTAGATCTATACAAATGTATTCTGAATTGTGTGAGACTTTTGTATTTAGCTTCATATTTCAGTATATATATCTTAAATGTTTACACTCTTAGACATGAATTCCAATTTACGTCAGAGGAATTCAACCTTTGCATTGATGTATTTATTTATATTTAGTTGTATAGCTAAAATAAAATGGAAAAGAGACCAGCAGCTGTGGGACAAATATAGAAATATGAAAGTAAATTTTGCATAACCCCATATAAATAAATAAAAAGGTCTTGGTAGAGGAGGTACATTCAAAGTTAAACTGTGTCTTTGTGTCTGTCACTGGTTTGAGACAAAAATCCAACAGGATGCAGTGTTGTTTACATGTGGCATAAGCAGGTCCATATGAGAGGAAGGAAGAGCCAGAAGAAAACTGAGCAATTTTGGAAGAATACTGAATTGTAACTTTTCAACACAACAGGAATTTAACTGTTTGAGACACATGTTCAGAGGCTTTAGCAATCGTGAGTAGGTGCACTATATGTAACTTTTCTGGTAGAAGGTTCACTAACTGTTTCATATCTGTTTTCATGCCTTAGATGCAGCTGAAGTTCTCGTACCGGTTTTCATGCCTTATTTTAAGTTCTCGTACCTGTTTTCATGGCTTAGTTTAAGTTCTCGTACCTGTTTTCATGCCTAAGATTCAGTTTAAGCTCTCACACCTGCTTTCATGCCTTAATTTAAGTTTTCATACGTGTTTTTGTTCCTTAGTTTAAGTTCTCATACCTGTTTTCGTGTCTTGATTACTGTTTTCATGCCTTAGTTTAAGCTCTTATATCTGTTATAGTGTCTTAAATACAGTTGAAGTTTTCATACCTCTTTTCGTGCCTTAGTTTAAGTTCTTGTACCCATTTTAGTAGCTTAGATACAGTTGAAGCTCTCATACCAGTTTTAATGCCTTAGTTTAAGTTCTAGTACTTGTTTTCCTGCCTTAGACACAGTTTAAGCTCTCATACCTGTTTTCGTGCCTGGTTGAGTCCATGGAGCCTGAGCTGGAGTTCACTGCGATAGTTCTGAGCCGCTTCAATGCTTTCTTTGGCCTCCTGCAGAAGAAGGTCCACCTCCGCAGACATCCTCCTCCTAGAAAAACAACAAGTATTCACATTTTTATAGTGCTTTTCTACCTTCAAGGCACTCATCCATTCACACACACATTCATAAACTAGGTATACTAGGGATGTGACCAGATCTTGTGCTACAAGATCTCATGAGACAAAACTGACACAAGATCGTGTGTACATGCTGAAAATGATTTTGTGAGATTTTTTACCCCATGTTTGTTTGTTGTTGTTTTTTTTGTTTTGTTTTTTTTTTAGACTGAATTTGAAAAAAAAATAGTTAAAGGTGTTTTGTGTAACTTTCTAGTGGAAGATCCATCAAATGCTTTTCTCCATGGAGATGTTATTCCTTTGTCTGAAATCTTTCACTGTATGGCTTTAAACCTTTCTATCTTCATGGACACCAAACCAGGCCAAGCTACAGATCAGATCTGTGGACAAGCGACCCCGCTCACAGTCAGAATGCCTGTTTCTAGGTATTTTTGAGGTGTAAAACCACCTGTAATTGAATAAACACATGGTAGGACTGCTTAATGTCATACTGTTGACATTAGAGCAATGACATAGAATCAAGCAGGTGAACCCCAGAACCAAAAGGTTACACAATGCACCTTTAAAATCAACTGTGATTAACCTTAGAGCCCTCTTCTTCCTGTAAATGTGTTTCTTGTGCACCTTAAACAGGGCACAGAGTAGGTGAAGCTTTGAGGTTTTGTCACTTCCTTTTTGAGCACAACAGACTTCAGTTTCAAGAAGTGATTCAAGAGTTTGAAATGTGGCATGAAACAACTCTTTTGTCCAACAGTTTACGGCTGTAAACACATGAGTTTAATCAGGAACAAGTGAATGACGAAATAAACAACCCCTCATTTAACAGTTATATCTCTGGACCTAATACAGACACTAACAAGTCAGTGCTGCAAAAACATTTTTATTTTAAAAATGTACATTTTGAAATCCAAAAGTAATAATTACTAGAGTTATATAGATATGGCAGATAGTCACACTTTTTCAAATAAAAAGGGTGAAAATAATCAAAATCTGCCCAACAGCTAGGTCCACACCACTGAGCAGTCAACATATGTTTTGTTTTACCTTTAAAAGTAGAATATGTAACTTTCTGGAGGTCAGGTTTCTATGGAAATAAAAAGTTAAAACGATACTTTACATTCGCCATGGAGATAGATGTATTTTATGCCATGTGGTGCTTGACTTAGCTGACTCAGAGTAGTAGAAATCCCAGTGTCTCAAACCAGTACCATCCAATTTAAAATGTCTTCTGGATGGGAGCCAAATGGCCTGACTGCAAAAACAGAGTCCATACGACCACAGCTGAAGCCCTCTCTGTATTTATAACACACGGTTGAAGATTATAGTTAAAGGAATGAAATTTCCATGGAAACAAGCAGGAGTAGGCGCTAGGGGTGGGCGATATATCGATATTTTAAATATATCGAGATAGTTTTTAAACTCAATATGAATTCTGACTTATCGTATGTATCGATATAATGCTTATATTCAATTTTGATTTCGCCGCTTCGCTTGTTTACCTCTCTCGTCACCTCCGCGCGCCTCCGCCTCCCTGAGTTTGTTCGCTCGTGTCTCCTTCACTCCTCACTATTGCCCTGAATGCCGAAAGTTGGTGCCAGTGAAAAGCTTCAAGCACCACGAACCTTTTCCACCATTTACAGACAAGACCACCAGCAGCACATCCTCATATTCCACCGAGTCACACTACGGAACCTACTTGGACCACTAAGGGACAACACACATATGAGACCACATGATGGTTATATAAGAGAAAGTACTACAATGTTGATGTTAATGTTGAAAATCACATTCTATTGTCTAAATTAAGTGAGTGCTTTTATTATCATCGTAGTATCAGAATCGGTATTGAGTATCGAGTCTATTCCCTAATATCAAAAAATCAAGTTTGAAATTGTAGTATTGTGACAACACTAGCATGTATTTCTTCTATTAGAGAAACAGATATCCACCATTGTTTTGTATCGCAAGTTATTATAACCTTTAGATTTTGCTGAGTTCATTGGAGATAATTCCTTATTTTCCCTCAAGTTTGGAGCCAAAATAACCAAACACGACACTGATAAAAAGCGCTCCCGTCACAGGAAGCCACTGTTTATGCTACACAGCTGCTAATCTCCCAGAAAAACGCACAAAGCTAGCCTCACGTTAGTATTAGCATTGTACTCCGTTACTTTTACTCAAGTTATATTTACTTAAGAAACTTTTAAATAAATTTTACTTTTCAGAGTACTTTTCAAGCAGCATACTGGAGTAATATTTTTATTGAATAGTACTCTTACTTTGGGTAACTCTTCCCACTGTGAGTGACAGAATCTTTACGTTGACAATATGAGATGATTTGAACATTTGTGTTTCTCGCACTGCTCAGATATAATGTTTTTCACATATTCAGTTTTGTACATTGTTTAATGTATTGTCTTTTAAATTACAATAACTCCAAATTATAAATCATATGTTATTCTTTAAGTTACTCTTACTTAATAGTTTTCCCTAATACTTTTTTACTCTTACTTGAGTAATTTCTTGGAACCGATACCAGATATTAACTGATGCAAGTGTAGTGAGTGCAGAAAATGGCCTTTCTTCTCAAATAAACACAGTTAACAGTTAACAAAATAGATCTAATTGTAGTATGTAATTGTTATTGTTGTCTTGCAAGTAACTTCTGAACAGCTTTGTATGAATAAAAGTTCAAACATTATGAAATGTTCTATAGGCCCAAAATCTGTCTGTACATTTGTCTTATTATATAAAATTAATGTCCCATTAGCTGAACCAATATCATGGATCCAATTCCTGATTCAGCAAAATTTCCTGGGTCATACCAATACTGGTGCATCCCCATTATTTTATACCTCTACTTGAGTTACATTATTTTGAAGTACTGTAACATTACTCTTGCTTGAGTACAGTTTTTGGATGAGCGTTTTGGTTTTCAGTGAGAAGGAAGTGGCTTCACACACATCCTCTGTTACTTTCTGCAGTGTAATGTCATCTCAGTACATTCACATAAAACACAAAGAGTGAACATAGTGGGGCCAAAGTCGACTAAACACATGTCCTGCTGATCGATTAGCCGACTAAAACGGGCGCATGGCAAAAGCTCTCATAACTATTATTTCTATGTATCCAACCCAAACTACATTTACAAGACTACACCTGCAGGAGGAGTTTATACTAAAAAATGACTGTATTTACATAGAGAAGTACCGGTGTATTTATATGTAAAAGGAAGATAAAAGGAAGATTAAAATTACATTTAAAAGTCATACAAGATACTAAAGGAAGGTATGTGCTAGTTGTTGGTCAAATAAGAGACAAAATTATTTCAGTACTAAATATATATGCACCAAATGAAGAGAATGAACTATTCTTTAAGACTCTGGCAAATATAATTATACAAGAGGGGAAAGGAATGTTAGTATTGGGAGGTGACTTCAATACTGTACAAAATGGGAAATTGGATAGGTTACCATCTGAAAAAGGACCACCAACAAGCCGGTCTAAAATGTTAAATAATGTAATAAAGGAACCTGGATTAATAGACCCATGGAGAAGTAACAACACAAGAGAAAAAGCATTTACATTTTATTCAAACCCACATAATAGCTACTCAAAGATTGACTTTTTCCTTCTTTCCCAACAAGATGTATTTAAAGTAATAAGTAGTGGAATTGAACCAGTAACAATAAGTGATCATGCGCCTATTCATCTCACAATAGAACTGGATAAGGACTCTTCCTTTAAGTATTGGAGACTTGGTGTATCCATTTTGGCAGACAAAGCAGTGGTGCAAGAAATAAAAGAAAGTATACAATATATCGACAACAATGATAATGGAGAGGTCAATTTAACAATTTTATGGGAATGTGGGAAAGCAGTAATACGGGGAAAAATCATTGAATTAACCTCTAGAATAAAAAAAAGCGAGAACAGCAACAAAAACTATTGGAGAATGAAATAAAAAAATTAGAAACTGAACATACTAAAACGCTTGAAAAATCTATTATGTTAGAGTTAAAAGAAACAAGATCAAAATTAGACAAATTACTAACATTTAAGGTAGAAAATGCTAGAAGGTATATGAATCAAACATATTATGAAAAGGGGAATAGAGCAAATAAGTTACTCGCATTTCAACTCAAAAAGAAACAGTCGGAGCATACAATAGCAAAAATAAGACATCCTGTCTCCAAGGAAATTAAGATAAAACCAACAGATATTGCAGAAGCTTTTGCTGACTACTATAGAAATCTATATTATGATCAAAGTACGGAGTCATTAGAAACCAAAATACAAATGTTTATGAATAAGTTTGACCTTCCAACACTGACACCTGAGCAAGCACTGAAGATGACCGAACCAATCACTCTAAAGGAAATAGTGGATACAATCAAAAATTTGAAAAATAACAAAAGTCCTGGAACCGACGGATTCCCAGGGGAATTCTATAAATGTTTTATAGAGGAGATTGCACCATTACTAAAAAGAGTATTCAATTATGTTTTAGAATCGGGAAATGTACCAATATCATGGTCGGAAGCTCTCATCTCCGTCTTACACAAGGAGGGCAAAGATCTTGTGTTATGTGTAGAGCCCGACCGATATGGATTTTGTTGTGGCCGATATGAAACCGATATAATGGGAGTAGGAGCTGCCGATAGCCGATATAATCACCGATATATTTAGTGATGTAAAAATTCACTGTAAATCTTGAATTGATTAAAAAACTTAGGTTTGGCTCTAGTGGATTCTAAATTGGGTTTATTTAGGCAACATTTATTGTTATTTTGACTCTTTACATCATATTTACAGACAGTAGATTGGCCTAATGGCATTTTTGCAGCACATTCCAGCTACTAGTGATGGGTATTCCAGTTTTTTTTTTTGGAGAACCGGCTCTTTTGGCTCGGCTCACTAAAGCAGCTGGCTCTTTCGGCTCCCAAGCGACTCTTGAGATTGTTTTGTTGC